AGGGGGGACAAGAATGAATCTTCCTCATATTTGGCACCAGCTCAGGAAACGTTTTCTCAATTGACGCTTAGAACAGAAGCATGGGCGAGATCTTCAGTTGCACTGCAAAACACGTCCTTCGAGAATATAATGTCTGTTTGAATAAATGTGTTGTGACCGAGTGCTGGGTGTAACGGAAAGTTGATCTGAAAATCCCTCCCGATCACCCTTATTTGATTGTATTGACATTTATTTTGACATTTTTACCCTCGTTATGGATGGTGTACCTTTGACCCTCGCCGGTGTAATGTTATTTGCATGTTTAACTGTCTTATTTGACTTTACACTCGGTATTCGCCTTTGTGTGTTTGAGACTTATTATGAATGTTTCACTTCCCTATTATGTGACGCTGGACTGTTGACAAGGTGATGTTGTTTTACTGCGCCCGACATTTTGTTTTGGTTCAACTTACGGTTGTGCAGTGATTTGACTGTTTGTCTCTTGACTGTCTACTGGGAACGTTTGTTTGTTGATTTGATTCCTGTAGGCAAAGTTTTGATCCCTTTTGTCGAGAATATTCCTATTGACCGACAGGTACTTAACAGTTGTATTTGTTTAACCAGTTTTTACCGTGTAGTACGTATTTGCACCGAAGACCGTTTGGACTGCATGGTCACCCAACGGCACTGTTGAGGTATTTTGTAATTTTGACATAACTTATTGTTGCTTTGATAGTACCACAGATTTTGTTACAAATATACTACTGAGTTACTACAAACCGTGTTTTGATGTATTTGATCTAACCTTCGACCGTGCGTCACTCGCGGAAGTTAGGAAGCTATACAGTAGAACGCAGGAACTAGTCAGATTCACGTCAGTTGGCACAGCCTAGTTATTTCCCGCGTTCAGGCCAAGATTATTGGATTCTGGCCGCTACAGTGGGGTTGCTTGCGTGGGTATAATGATACTGAGGCTCAATAGACACCTCAACCGAATACCTTCATGACTGACCTCCCTCAGTACCTTCTGCTTCACTCAGCCGCGGTAAAATCAGAAGACAAAGACGACCTGTGACTGCAAGAACGACGACAACAACTTTTGTTGGACAAATACATGATATATATGAAGTTACAAAACTCTCAGAGAGTGAAGCCATAATTGAACTGAACAGATTTCTTGTACGAGATCGAATTCCTCTAATCAGGTTCTCGTGTCAGCGCGTGAATAAATCATGACCTGAACATGATCTGATCACGACTTGAAAACTCCCCTATTGGCTGCCTTTTGTCTCTACGTATCAGGGTGGAAATGATAATTAAAATGATCACTGGCGAGCAGTCACCAAATTATCGGTAAATTTATTCATAAAGTTGGTCGCTCATTACTTGGAGTCCTGCTTCTAATAAAACCGGTCGTAAAGAAGCGGATAGACGGCGCATTCCGTTGTGATTATACCAGGATGATAAATGGAAAACGGTCCGTTCATTCTTAAAATAACACTTCCTGGGGGAGTTCGTTCCTCATTTCTTGCATAACGGAATGGTTGCGGTTATGTCCATGCTGTCGACCCCTGTGATATTACGTGTATTGGTACCATATATTCCGGGCATCCACGCCTACGCAATATTCACTTAGGCCTTTCCGGGTGAATATGTGGCCTGAATATGCAGGCAAATACCATTTCTGCAGGTGTGGTTAAATTCCGGCGCAACTCAAGCTTTTCCTAAGGGTAACTAATCTCAGTACTCATCTATCAGCCACTGAAAGGCATATGTTTCATGTTAATAAAATGAAGCATACCACAGGAGGAGGATAGTTACGGTGATTTGTGATTTGAAAGGGCTTGCCGCGGTGATGGCAATGGGTTGGCCAGCTACGCACTTAGTTCTAGACCCTTACTCGTCAGTTAGCACAAAAATGTAGATAGGTTGTCCGCTCTTCAATCATTGAGTAGAAATCACCATTTTATTACCGGCTTACGAATGCATATGGCTGGGATAATCTCGTGTGTGAGCGGTAATTTGAAATGCTTTCTTTTGTATCTCAGCGATTCCTCAGTGAAAGCCAAACGGCCGGTGGTATTCTGCATAATGATGTGACACTGGGGACTTTTGATGCATGAACATCTAGGTGGTTACTTCTGGAACGAGTGTTTTTAACATTGTTTCCTTTTAGCGAAGTATTAGGATAAAGTTCTGAATACAGTCTCGTAACCATATCATCAGACTTTATGTTGAGTGGTTTTCGCTGGGAGTAAGAGGGTTTCAGGCCTAATGATGAGTCAATAAAGGACACCTGCGTAGTTACCTAACTGTGAAGATGACGGCCGATGCCTTCTCCCGCATTGTGAATACCCTAGTTGACTCCTACTTGGGTGCCCTAAAGTTCAGGACGCAGGTCTTCTAACTTTCTTAGATACTGAAGCCGTATTTGGTGACGAAGCACCTGTAGGAAGAATAGGCTTTTCTCCGAAATAGGACGATTTAACATTTGACTAGCTTTTACTTTGGGGCGACTTTAACACAGGAGTTGAATATAAATGAGAGGTGGCGATTACCACGTGTTTGATGTTCCTCCATTGGCATTCACAGATATCACATTGAAAGTAGCTTAGTGAGATACATAAAAAATTAATGTTTTACCCCCACATTATGAATTAAACATGAGAGAAAACAGTTTACGGGCATAATCACGTCTATATTTGTTGAAAAATCTACAAGATTTTAGGGGTCCTGCGTGGTGCAGAGGGAAGGTCATTGAACCCTACCATAAAATCAAGGGATTCTGTTAGTTGCGAAACGAACAAAAAATACCATTTCGACCATCTGAGACAGTCGTTGTTTGGCAGACTAGTGTTTATACCAGGTGATAATTGGAGGCGGAGTGAAAAATTGGGCCGCGGCTGGATTCGAACATTTCGCCAACGAGCTTCCGACCCGGTGTTCTGCCGACTGAGCTACGATGTCCGATTCGGGCCAAAGTCGGAAGATATCACATTTCAGTATATGCACGGTGTTTGCGTTCAGATCGGGTTTCAGTAATATTTTCACTATAGTTGATACCAGAGCCACGAGATGTTTCGAGTTCCCGTTGCAAGCAGTTGACATGTTCGGCACGTCATCACAGTGCTACATTACGCCAGATAAATATATGTTTTACCATAAATTCTTGTGTTTATGATAAAACCAAAGATTTTGAGTATATTCGTCGTGACTGGCTTATCCAGGACACCACTTATTAGATTGCGTAACATCTCAGCAGCCCGCAAGATTTGCATGGCCGTGGTTTCACCGCCTTGTTTACTAGGCACTGAATGAAATCGAGACTTAAGATTTTTGCTTGTTGAACGGTTCATTTCACTATTACATGGACAAACGCTATTGATATTTGCCAGAATATTTTTGCGTTCTTTGTGGGTATAATTCTTCACCCACGGCCTGTGTTGCACTATTTTTTCATTTGCTCATCTTGCCTGAAGAAATGCTTATGATTTCTCGTTGTTTTGATCGAGACTTTCCCAACAAAAGGGGTTTTCAAATCGCCTGGTAACAGACAGCTACGTACTTCATTGCCCAACTTCTTGTGGTACTAGCAGGCGTTGCTTTTCGACGTGGTTCCACTCATGGTTTTATTCCGACTGCGGGGTTTGATTCCATGGAACTTTGGTGTAACTGCAAAGCCGTCAGTCGTTCTGTAAGTACGTCGATCTTCATCTCTAAAGCAGCAGTATTGTTGTACAAAGCAAAATGACCGCTTAACGGTACTTTCGGCCGTTTTAGACATTCTTACATACGGTCAGCGATATCAGCCAACCTGCCAATGTGAATGTCGGCATCGCCGACGGCTAATATTTGCTGAATACATGAAGGAAATCTCCACGGTCAAGCTGGTAGAATAGACGGTTGTCTACGTTCCCATCTTCCAGAAGACTTTGCACATGTCGTTTGAGTTGTGAAGACGTTCTGTCACCGTGGCATGCACTGCATAATAGTTAATCGACAGCTTTTTTATCAGATAACGAAGTGGCTTTCGTCACTTCTTGCTTCAAAATATCACAGGATGTCTGGGTGGGGCTTTAATAGCGTATCTCTTACTTGTTCATCCACTTCTTCCGGTAAGACAGAACTTGTGTATCCGAACTTTTTGCGTTGTAAAGTTATGTTATTGGTCACGAAGAATTGTTCCAGATGGATAAACCACAATTGCGGGCCATTAAACTTAAAGAAAGGCATAGGAAGATTGATGGCACCAACGGACCCTACATTCGAAAAGTCCTGATTATGAGAGTTTAGAGACATCAGTACTGGTACAGCAAAAAGACATTGTTAAGGACTTAAAATAACAAGAGTAGGGAAAATGCAATAGACAGGTATTTCGATACCTACCACAAAGCAGCTTAGGATATTCTCATTATCTATATCCGTAATGTGTACAGTCATTACCGATTGTGGTCGCAGTACCCAATTGAAAACAACAATAATATCCACCAGTTAAACTTGCGAGAGTTTAATCGTGTTGAGCTCAACAGTTCATCGAGCTCTGATTTGCGCAAGCGACGAGTATACAAATACAAGGACCTATTAGGATTAGGTTGGCAAGGCCCACTGTTCGATATTCTCAAGCCCAAAAACGAATCCCATTTTATAAGGTTGACCACAGAATTTAAGTGATAGACCAGTTTGATTCTTTGGACAGAAGCACCAGGCGTTGTGTATAAGGGTTGGGGCATATTTCAGCATCAGAATAAATGTGGTTCAAGCAACGGTTGTTGTCGAAACCAATACCAGTCGAACAACAGAAATATGAAAGACGTAAAATAAATTTCACGGTTTGACTTTGCCATGAAAATTGAATATTTTGGTCAAGAAATGATTTTGGCTAGAACAGTACTATTGGAAAAGCTAACTCCACTGTCAGTCTCACTCAATGCTTTGTTTTATAGGAGTACACTGGCTAAAGTGACCTTGAGGGTCTTTTAACTTTTTATTTACCTACGCAACGTGCAGCTTTGGAAGCTAGGATGGGTTTGGAATGTTATACAGTCTTGGAATGTATCGGAGAAGGCTCATTCGGTCGTGTCTTTCGTGGAAGGAGAAAAGAAACGGGACAGGTTGAGTGAAATGTTTCATACGTGCATTTCGTTTTGTAGATTGTGGCTATGAAATTTATTCCTAAAGTCGGAAAAAGTGAGAATGCGCTGAAAAATTTGAAGCTAGAGATTGAAATAATGAGGTCGATGCATCACACTAACATAATCGAAATGCAAGACTCTTTTGAAACGGAAAGAGAAGTTGTATTGATTGTGCTTCATTCAAATATTATTACCTATCAGGTAGTTGCTATCACTGACTATGCTGAAGGGGATCTTTTCCAAATAATTGAAGATGATGGACGTCTTTCAGAAGAGACGGTATTTGTTCTTGTTTTTACACCTCCTCTTAGGTCAGGTCCGTGGCCTGCCAGTTAGTCTCTGCCCTGTACTACCTTCATGCTAATCGTATATTGCACAGAGATATGAAGCCACAAAACATTTTATTAGGCCAAGATGGCGTGGTTAAGTTGTGTGACTTCGGGTTTGCTCGTGTTATGGGTTGGAATACCTTGGTCCTTACATCTATAAAGGTTTTGTTTGCGAATATTATGACTTTCTTTTCGTGTAGGGAACTCCTTTGTATATGGCACCAGAAATTATCGAGGAGAAGCCCTATGACCATACAGCTGATCTCTGGTGAGTCCAAGATTTTCTTATAATCTGTGCATAGGGCGTTGGGTTGCATACTGTACGAACTGTTCGTTGGCACTCCACCATTTTATACAAACAGTATTTTTCAACTTGTCAAAATGATAACAAAGACTTCTATTCAATGGCCGTCTGACATGTCTTCAGTCTTCAAAGATTTTTTGGCTAGATTACTTCAAAAGGATGTTCGGCAAAGACTGCAATGGCCAGATCTTCTGGATCACCCATTTGTCTGCGACAAGATTGAAAGTAACGTAATACCAACTGTTTATTGTAAAGTATGCATTTTTACGGTAACTTTTGCCGTTCTAAGAATTTGAAAGTTTGAGTTATTTGTCTTTTACTTGCAGTCTGTCATGTCATTATTTGTGTAGGTGGGAATGTTGACTTACGTATAAAAACTGGACATATATATATATATATGATGTGATATGATATGGCAAACACGTTTTAGTGGTAACTACTCAGCAAATGAGAGTCATTTTTGAATGATCATCATGCTAACTTTCATTTTGTGACTTTTACCTGGGTAAATTTCAAGTGTGTTATTCCTCGTCCTGCTAAAAATATTTTAAAGTAGGCTTTGTCAGACAGCCAGACTTTGACTTAATGAAGTCATTTGATTCATATTTCATTTTCCGAATTAACTGTCATAATTTTAGTGTCACTTCGCTATCACATTACATCATTTTTTCTTCCTACCCCTAAATTTTAATGTTTTTGAAGTGCGATAAACATTAAGCTTATTCGCATGAGAAATATGTTGATGAGCAATTGGTAACTCTCTTTTTCACAAGGGCCCAGTAGTATCAACACAACTAGTCTATCCATATGTAGTAGTACTGTCTAATGTATCGACTTATTTAATTTCATCAGACGTTATACTTGTGTTTCTAAAAAGTCCATCACTGATTTCCGAGTGAAATTTCCAGGAGTTAAGATTACACTAACTGGGTATGTAGCTGTAACCCGTTCATCTGAGCAGCCGAATTTCAACCACAGTGGCTTATTGACTTCAGTATTCGGCCTTCAAGCGCTGGATCGATGGTCCATACTCCGTTCAATCTACTTTGATCCGGGTTATTTTGTAGTGTCTTAAGTCCTTTCTAAACAACAGTTGCGCTATTGGCTTTTGCCAACACATGCCATCTATGACGCCACCGCGACATCCGATCGCTCATGAAGGGTCGAGTGTACTGTACTGGAGTTCTCTCTGTTCTATTGTGTGGCTGTGAAACATAACCATTAAAGGTAGAGGTCATGAGATGAAGGCTTCGGATGTTTGATGGCCGTTGCCTTCGTATCATAGACCATGTTTTGTGGTGTCACGACGTCAGTAACACAAAGGTCAGGTGTAGAGTTTAAAGGGGTTAAAAAAAGTAAGTTGATTAGGTTGTGAATCTCCAACGCCTCATATGTCTAGATGATGTGTTATGCATGCCTAGTGAACATCTGCATCATTGTAAAATGTTGGGTGAAGTCTGTTTAGACTGGTAAAAGGCTCCGGGTGACCAGATTAAAACATGGGATGACTGCATGAAGTCGTTGACTGTTGGTTTGAGTGATGTAGGGGGATGCAGATTATTGATTTGAGATCCGTGAGACAAGAGACATGAATGGTTGGAGATTGTGGGTGATATGGCTGAGAATCGGTGTCAGTGGTGCATATGTATCTACACATTGTGTTTATTTTGAGCGGTATGGTGTATTTTGTATTTTGTTATTCCTCCTTCCTTTGTTTGACTGGTGTGTATTGTCTTTGACGTATTTTTCTTTCTTTGTTTATCTTTGATTTTATTGGGTTGTTACTTGATGTTGTGAAATGAGGTGTGGCAACTTGTATTGTTTCGCAGTGATGTCTGGTCCTATGTTGATATTGATTGATTGACTTTGTGTTCAGAGAATCGCCTACTGTTCAGTGGGCTTCATAATGATATAATACAATACAATATAATAATATAATATTGGTGATGTATAACCTTCAACCCACTTTATCTTACAATTCACGTGAAAAGATTGTAATTAAAAACATTTACATTTTATTCACTGTAGGTTTGGTTAAAAGTTTCCATTTTTCTACCACTCATTAGTTATCAGTTATGCCTATCAGTTTATGCATTATACTCCCAACTGACCGTGAATTTACCGAGGTGGTTCAGTTTGCAGCATGATAATATGATGAGATGCAGTAGTTTTATCACCTACTCTACTATTATTTAAACTCCCTGACCTTTAAATTTGATGGTTTGAAAAACTATAACTATAACCTTGATAAAGCTACTGATACTAAGTAGCGAAACATCAGCTGAAACAAATTAATTTTGTTATATATTCATTGGGAAATGCAAATACACAAATAATGAACTCCTTTTGATTTTCTGCAGTATCCCCGGGTGTTCGTCTCCTCTCTAGCCCACTGACTCAACCGCTGACTCCGACTCAACTGGCAGAAAAAGAACGACAAAGACTGCTAATGTTGCGACCAAATGGATCACGAGTGTTGAGACGTGCTGGAGGCGACCAGTTCAGTAAACTTAAACAAGTTAAAGAAGAAGACAAGTTGGATGACTCTTTGGATCATCGTCGGGGTAAATCTGTTGCTAAAGATTTACCAGGATCAGATCCAAGAGTTGATGTGGTTGAAAGGAGGTATGCAAAAAATTTGTTTGATAAACCTCCGTTGTCAAAATTTGGAGAAAAAGGGAAAGTAATCAGACCAAAATCACACACAAAGGCTATTGAGGAACACAATGAATTATTAAGAAGGCCAAGTTCGGCGGACAATGAACAGGTGAGTAGTACTGTAGGTGGGGGTTTATAAATTTTTCAAGTTGGTATTCATCATAGACTGACATCACTTCTAGAGACATTGGAAACCTGGGAGCACTGGACAGCTGCTTCGTCCTAGTATGGGACTCTTCAGCAGTGCGCACCCACAACCCTGCCAGGAATCGAACCCGCGACCTTCAGGCTACGTGGCCAGCACGTTACTATTGGGCCCGAAGTCCGAGTGAGATGTCGTGACCAGTGGGGCAAACCTGGTAGCCATGAGGACAAATACTCAAAGGCGACATTGGTTGGCGGTTGCGCTACATTGTGAACTGACGGAAGTTGGAAATATGGACCACTGGATTCCGATCCAGTGGCCCTGAAGGTCACGGGTGCACACTGCTGAAGAGTCCTATACTAGAACAAAACGGCTGTCCAGTGCCCTCAGGTTTCCAGTGTTTCTCCAACTGATGTCAGTCCATGATGAGTACCAACTTGAAAAGTATCCAGTCTAGTTGTGCAAAAATCATGCTGTAAGGTGTGAAAATTATATCCCGTTCCGCTCTTGATTTGTTTTCATTTATGTGGTACTCTTATTCCATCTTTTCACACTGTTTCATGTGAACAGATTTTCTAATCATCGTATGCCTTCATCTACACTAACAACATTACATATGGCCTTTACTGACTGAAGCTTTTGTACATGGTAGATTCATGTGGGTAACTGCAGTTAAGGTATTTCTCAATTGATAATGATCGATGCCAACTAATTATATGACAATTCTCAGGAAAAACACGTAAAAACATGTAAAATGCAAGAAATAATTTTTTGAATAGAGTCAACAAACATTCTAGTCTTTCATTGGGTGGTTGTTCTGGTATCTTCTGAAGACAAGTTCACGTACTTACAGAGAAAGACGATGTCAGCAGGCTATACTGCCTTGATAAATATCAGGATAAAAATCTGGTCTAACGGAATTCAACAACTCATCCCTCGGAATCTTACGTTCATATTTTCACATTAATTTTGGTTTCAAGGTTGAAGGCTTGTTAACAAATTTACTAAAACATAATTATAAAGATGAAAGTTGAAATTCAAATTTTTCGAGAAAGTAATACTTAGTTGATAGGAAGTGGCTTAAATAGAAACCAAAATTTCAGGTCATTAGCCGTTAAGGTAGGAGATTTTAGATTCCGATTTTTTTTTCGCATCACAATATGGTCTGGGGAAACCTTATTGAACAATTTTGTCTTACAGTTGATCGGTCAAAATAAGTTATTTAACTTTTGACTTAGTGGTTTTATATATTGATGAATACTTAATATAAATGATATAGTTTTGTCGAATAAAGTGTGTTCCTTGAAGCCACAGGCCGGTCTTGGTCTTATGGTTTTCGTGGTTGAGTGAAGTATAAGGTTCTGAGGGAGAACACTCGCTATTCGTATCTAGTCCAACTGTCTTATTGTGTTATTATTATTACTCACTCAATGATTCCATCAGTTAGAGTTGTGCCGATGAAAATGTCCTGGATAGAAATTACACTGTAACTGATTAAAAGGAAGCTTATTCAATAACTAACCTCGCTTGGCGAAGGTGACATGGAGGAGATCGTGTAAGGAGGAAATGAGAGCTTTTGGGCTGTCGTGGAGCCAGGCTCAAAAGTTTGCGGAGGACAGAGTGCACTGGAGATGTGCTGCTGAAGCCCTATGTTCCATTAGAAACCCAAGGGACAAATAATAATAATAATAATAATAATAATAATAATTCAATGACTAGTTTTAGAGAAAAGAGAGTGAAACTGTTCGCCTATACTGTTGTTATAACTTGTTATTTTTGGGTTTTTATACTTATACAGGGAGGAAATGAGCAATCAACACAAAATTCCTCAACTAATCGACCACAAAGTTGTGATACATTAGATTCAGAAAAGGTATGCATTATATACTATTTAATAATTAGCTGATTATGTTTGATAAATTCATGTTATAGCAGCAAAATTGTGTAAGGAACAAACTTGGAATTTGCTGATGAATAATTTTCAGTAAAATTACTAGCTTCTATGCAAAAGATTTTTAGAATAACTTAAGCTTTGTTATGTTAACCTCTGTGTCAAGATGGTTGTTGAGCCTATAGCCTTAAGATAGTCGATAAGATTTGTATGTAAGTATAACATTGTATAGCGTTGAATGAGACAGCGTAATGATAAGGCTTTCATTGTCATTGTAGACATCATTACTGGGGAACACTTCAAAAATCAGTGAGCCAAGGAACTTCTTTTGCTAGTAATTTAGAGAAGTGTCCTAGTGACGCGGAATCGGTCAGTTAGTATCAACATAAGGTTTGATAATCATCGTAAATCGGTCTAAGTTGTCATACGTTGAATTGATGTCGAGGATATCAACAACATAAAGGATGTAGAATAGAAACTGGAATAACTGAATCAAAAGCCGTTGAGTACCATAAAAGAAGATGCATCTAAACTACTGCGATCTAGTCTCTAAATGTCGATTTCAGCTGTCTTGTGAACTTTTACACTTCTCTACGAGACTCATTCATGGACAGCATTAATTGATGTTGCGTCTTTATTAGGCAACCCTTATCTGTTTCAACCCAACCTTATTTAAATTAACATAGCTAACCAGAGTAGACTACTGATCAGTGTGCATAATACATCCACCAGCCATCTTAGTAGATAATTCAACTGTAAACGGAGAATATAAGTTGCGGAATAATAGGTGCTTTTTTTCTGCAAACCGATCAGAAATACTATTTTGTTGAAAACAGTATGCCTTCTGGTTATGTTGTACAGCTCAAACAAACTAAGGTTAAGTGGGACTCTACCGCACAGACCAAGTTTTACCTTCGTCGGAACCATATACCTAAGCCTAAACTTGGAAGTTCTATGGTCAACACACTTTTACTAAGAGATGTAGTGGTTATTGGTTGTGTTGCGTCCTCTGAATTGAATGTTTCAATTGTGAAACATCCTTTCTAAACAAAATTGTCACCACTAGCTTCAATGTAAAGTGAGCTATCAGTATTTCTCCTCAAGTGATTCAGTAGCTTGCTCTGATGAATTAGTTTGTGATTGTTTATTTCCTTTGATTGTTGTGTCTTTGATTGACACAATGTCTATTAGTTCACGCTTCACTATGGCATGCAAAGAACAAGTGGCTAAAGAAAGAATGATATCAAAGTAGAAAGCTGTGGGTTGAGAGAATAAGTAGATGATAGTTAGTGAATATGTTCAAGATTTCTAGGATGAAAACGAGTGAACATATCTGTGCCATGACTCAGACCTACAGTTCAAAACTATGGATTGACCATCTTTCTTACACCTCAATCCTACTTCGTCTAATTTTGTACATCGACGAAGGCTGGGCCTCAAAATGAGCAAAACGTATCCAAGCCATCTCAGGCGATGATGGTTCACAACCTCAACAACTGACTTACCTTCATTTTCTGATATCCGACGGCTAAACTGGACATTGCTTACGTGGTGATCTCATCATACTTATGCAATGTTGCCAAGACATCTGTGATCCAACATCTGCAAGCGCTTCATGTCTTCTACTTTCAGCGACCATGTGTCACAGGCGTATAAAAGGATAGAATGGACTGCAGCTAAGTAAACTTGTCCTTTGATAAATAGTCGGATATCTCGCCAATGGGTACCAGAGATGAAGCAAGTTGGCAAATGCCAAACAGACCTTCTGTATCTGACCTGAGGTTTTTCCAGTAACCAGCTCGATCAAGCTGATGCAACTCCACAAGTAAGCAAAATAATCGACTCATTCAATTACTTCACTCCCAATCCTTAAACTGAGATTAGTCCTGAGGCATCATATTACATTTGACAGGTGTGAGACGCATGCCAAGCATACTCGGATTTTTACTCATTGTCTTCGCCTAATAGAGCAATGTCGTCTATATACTTCAAGTTAACCAGATATCCTTCTGGGAGTAAGTCAATCTCTGTAAAGTTGGAGATACGCTATATTATGTTCATCAATACATCTATGACGAAGTTCAGCAGGAATGATGATAATGGCGTCCCTGGCGAACCTTTCTGGTTATCATCACTCTAGATGACAACTCTCTATAAGCTTTGACATGGTTGTATGAGGTTGAGTAGATAGCTTTGATTAGCATACTATGTGTGGGAGGAATTTCGGTCCTTGGGTTTCAGGCTATAGCCTAACGCCAGGTTGAAGATCATAAACATTCGTATGCTGAATTTGGTTTCCAGTAAATCTCTATATATTTCATTAATTTGGATTACTCATATTATTTTACGTGAATAAACTGGTACACGATATGAATTCTCAGTCATCATCAACCTAGAATGAACTTTGTTTACACTATTGTATGAATACATTTCTGATATTCCAAAGATTTTTCGACATGTCACTCCACTCATTATTTTCGCTCTTTTAAATGTTAAGAAAGCTCCAGAATGGTCCCAATTCGAAGATACTGCAGTTGAACCTCCTACTCCAAGAGAAAATCGAATATCCTCTGATTATGATCGTGAAAATGCGGTAATTGAGCGTTTTCAACAAAGTAATCGCGAAATTTGTAATGTAGCTAATAAGCAACATTCTGTAGTAGGTGATTATCACTTGGTAAGTTAAAGTTTTTCTCAATGAAATACTTTTCAAATTTCTTAGGGGTAACAGTATTGCATTTCTTATGCATATTATTATTACGACGAACTGATGACCACTGAGCCGGAAACCCAGAAGTAGCATGTTAGAATCCTGTCGCGGTCCAGACTTTCATTTCACCCTCAATCATCCCCAGTATCAATACAAGTTTGCCAGACGTCGAGCATCTCAGATAGTCAAGCTGATAATCAGTATGATACTCCCCCTCTCTAATTCAGGTTGATTTGGTTTGGGATGAGAAGTCTTGACTGGGCAGCCAATGTGAATACGACCAAGAGATAGTAATACATCACGAATTTACATGGCGATCGGGCAAAACCCTTAGTGATTGAAGTGAAGTCAAGATCCGGTCAGCATCCAGGTTTCTTAGCTCAGTTGTTAGAGCACTAGACCATATTAAATGTCGACTAAATATTCGTCCTTTAACTTGGTCAAAAGTAGTGGGATTAGGATTTTTCATTATCTTTAACCCTTATCCAAAGGTCTTTATATTGACATTTTATTAGTCCATTACTACTCAGTTTCTTAGAAGACAATGTTTCTGTATTAAACTCGGTGATTACATTGGTCCCGTATAATAACTATACAAACAGCTATGTTTCCAGTGGATTTCCGCCTTTTTCCGGAACAATAAGTCCTTCCTTCTCAGTGTTATCATCTATATTGTCTTTCAGGAGTATGGGGACAATGTTTTAAGTGATCAGTGCTCATTGTCGTGTGTTGAAGTGTTGCCAGTGTATAAAGACATTTCCCAATTCATAATCCATCAGTTAGGAGAAACCTGGAACTAAGTATTATTTAGTCACTTCACTAATAGTTTTATAACTGTGTGGTTATTAGCTACTTGTTCCCTTCATTTGATAAGTATCTTTCACTTAATTACTTGTTATTCTTGTATTCGTTGTTAGCTGCTTCAATGGAGAAAAGTACAGTCGGTATGTGTTCATGGTCGTTCAGCAACTAACCACCTGGGAGTATTTTGAACCTGGAATAAACGTCCAGTGTCTCTGTTGTTTGATGCTTACAATTTCCCATTTATATCCAGGGTTGAATTGCTGGACCTCTATTGGCAGATGGACTCCAATGCAGATGCTTCGGTACTGCCCGAATATTCATGATGTTGGACTCGCCTTGGTGACTAACAGTGAAATCCAGGACGCGCATTTCGTTTTATTCGGGACTCAGCTGGATGTACCTCCACTCTAGTGACTGATGTTCTCACTGAGATTTGAACCCAGTACTCATCGCTCCAAACGTCAAGGTGCTATCCACCAGGCCACTGGGGCACAATAGCCACATCTTGTGCGATGGGTGTCAGTTGTTGTTTGATATTTATAATTTCCTGTTCCTGTGCTGGGTCGAATTGCGCGACCCCCAGCTGATGAGTCCCAAATAAAAGAAAATATGCGTCCTGGATTCCACTGATAGCCACCAAGTACACTGCAACATAATGAATATTGGGATAGTATCTAGGCGTTACGAAAGGGATTTCCAACAAACTACAGACATTCATCAATAGCTGGCTACGCTCGTTACTGAAGCTCATATGGCCAGAAAGAATAAGCAACAAGGACGTCACTGTAGCTAGCAATGAACCAACCAAGAACCTATCGCTCAACAAATATGCAGGAGGAAGTGGATATGGATTGGGCATATACTGAGAAGGCCGACTGGGGACATCATGCTCCAGGCCAGGCCGTCGACTGGAACCCAGATGGGAAACGACAAGTTGGGCGTCCGAGGTGAGGGTGGCATGGAAGAGATCGTGTGAGGAGGAAATGAGAGGTTGAGGGCTGTCGTGGAGCCAGGTTCAAACGTTTGCGGAGGACAGAGTGCACTGGAGATGTGCTGCTGAAGCCCTATGTTCCATTAGGAACCCAAGGTACAAATAATAATAATATAATCTAGGTATCCACGTAAGGAATACATCTTCCAATAGAGGTCGAATCAGTATAGCAACGAGAAATTACAAGTATCGATAAATTCTAAGGTATAGTTTACAAAACACAGTATTAGAAGACTTAAAACGTTTAGTCTTAAGCATTACCTGTTAGCAAACTCCTCCAGTTAAGTGGAACAGAAGATTGTTTCACTCATGTACAACTGAAACAATGTTCAACTTATCACTCAGGATTATACAAAACATTTAGATGTGAGACTACTGAACAATAATCTCCAAATACATTTTCACCTCACAAGTTTAACACAGATCACTCACTAAGCTCTGGTCCATTAACTTATTGATTACTCACTATTCGAAAGACCTGACCTAATAATGAATTTTCTCACCTGAGGAAGCATATCTAAGATGACTAACCTTTAAAGCCTCTATTTACAAGAGTTCATCAAACAAGAAAAACAATATTACCAGAATATTTTCATGCATGCATGTATGTATTCCATCGATTCTTCTCAGCTAATTGACAACCTATTCAATATTATTCCATATTAGATTTGTTTATTTGATATACAGCACACAGTGATACAGTAGTATTTACTTGATGAAGTTTTAATCATAAATTATTTCTCATAATCACACTACTTTCGACATCTGATTTTTATAGTCCTGTCATCTGATATTCTCTGTTCTTATTGGTAGTAAAGTTTTTCATATCTCTGATGTAGGTGTTGCATCATTCCTCTGAACACTTTGAATGGGAATTTGAGAATGTTTGGGATGCGGTTTTCACTACTCAAATGCAAATTTTTGCTCCAGGATTGGTTTTCAGCGGTACCGTGGCTAACAATAGAAAGTGAAGTGGTTGAGTGTGTCCACCACTTCACTTACCTGAGAAGTAGGATCAACCCTGGTGGCTCAGTGACCGATGAAATCTCTTCACGGATGCGATAGGCTCGATTGGCTTTTGCCAATTTGCGCCACCTATGGCGCCGCCGTGATATCCGTTTGTCTACTAAGGGTCGCATGTACTGCACAGCAGTCCGCTCTGTTCTACTGTATGGCTGTGAAACATGGCCACTGAAAGTGGAAGAAATAAAAGGCTTCAAGTGTTTGACCACCGTTGCCTTCGTAGTATAGGCCGCCGTATTTCATGGTGTCACCACCTGAGTAATGCAGAAGTCAGGTGTAGAGTTTTAGGGAGAAGAGGTAAATCAGTAGACGAGGTTATGAACCTTAATCGATTGAGATGGTTGGGACACGTACTACGTATGCCCAGTCACTGATTGCCTCGTCACACAATGCCGGCCGAAGTAGGCCCAGACTGGAAGAAGGCCCGAGGTGACCAGACTAAAACATGACACCAATGTATGAAGTCTCTGACTGTTGGTTTAAGCCATGTAGGGCGATGCAGACTAGGTGGTTTGGGTTGGCGGGACAAGAGAAACCAGAGGTTGGAGACTCTAGGTGATGATATGGCTGAAAAGCGATGTGAGTGGCGTAGATGTATTCCCACACACATTATCGTCATCTTAACGACGGTATATCGAATCTCACCATTTTGTCATCCTTCCTTTCTTTCTTCTCGTATTTTATGTTTCTTTTGACTGCATTCTCTTATTTTCATCTTTCACCTCACTACCTTTCTACTTGATGTAGTGATATGAGGTGTGGCAGCTCGGACCGTTACGCAGTAATGCCTGGTCCTATGTTGATTATGATTTGATTGATTGATTGACATGTGTTGGGTTTAGATTCAATGAAACAAGATTTAGTAATCCATCCCTTTCTCTACCTAGTTATGTTGGACTTAAGTACAGTGGTTTTATCCCATCCTATTGTGTGGTTATGTGTTAATGCATCCATTGCAGTAACCAGGATTTTTTCCAGATTATTGATCTTAATTGCGTCTATATTTAGTTGAATTGCTGTGTTCTGATTATCTAACTGACCTTGATCAGCTAATTTGACCTATGTACTTAACCTCATAGTCATTACATGGATTATGATTATGAGCAGTGATAATTTATGCTCAAAACGTCATCACATAAATACTACTGTATCACTCTATGCTGTATCTCAAGTAAAAAAATCTAGTATGGGATTGCATTCTACCTCAGTGTCAGTATTTACACTTATATTAAATGGTTAAAAAGATGTTTCATAGGCATTTAAGCTTCGAGTTCTTAGTTGTTCGAATCTTAGCTGCATAATATGTTTCATTGACGGTAGGGTTAAATGTCCGTCTGACTGTCAACCTATTTACATGATCAGTGTACTGTAGCTTGATGAATACATCTTTCGTTAAAACAGAGTGGATAAGTTTTCTCAATTACAAACAACTCGACCATAGTTGTTACGTGTATTTCTCAATGTTATGCTGACTAGTTGTTTTCCATTACCGTCTCCATCAACAATCTTTTCCTTTCTTACAACGTATCGATTATGCATATTCGCTGAATTTGATTCAATAAGCTGACAAAATCTTTGCATGGATTTTGCCAACATACGCCGCCATGATATCCGATTGTTTATTAAGGGTTGAGTACACCGTACAGCAGTCCGTTCTGCTTTATTGTATGGCTGTGAAGCATGGCCATTAGAAGTGGAAGGCATAAAAAGGCTTCAGGTGTTTGGCCACCGTTGTCTTCATGGTATTGGTTGTGTTTCATAATGTCGCCAAGTGAGAAACGAGAAGTCAGGTGTAGAATTTAAAGGGGTTGAGGAAAGTAAGTTGATTAGGTTGTGAATCTCCAACGCCTCATATGTCTAGATGATGTGTTATGCATGCCTAGTAAACATCTGCATGATTGTAAAATGTTGGGTGAAGTATGTTTAGACTGGTAAAAGGCTCCGGGTGACCAGACTAAAACATGGGATGACTGCATGAAGTCGTTGACTGTTGGTTTGAGTGATGTAGGGGGATGCAGATTATTGATTTGAGATCCGTGAGACAAGAGACATGAATGGTTAGAGATTGTGGGTGATATGGCTGAGAATTGATGTCAGTGGTGCATATGTATCTACACATTGCGTTTATTTTGAGTGGTATGGTGTATTTTGTATTTTGTTATTCCTCCTTCCTTTGTTTGACTGGTGTGTATTGTCTTTGACGTATTTTTCTTTCTTTGTTTATCTTTGATTTTATTGGGTTGTTACTTGATGTTGTGAAATGAGGTGTGGCAACTTGTATTGTTTCGCAGTGATGTCTGATCCTATGTTTATCTTGATGTTGAAGCCTCGTCTGTATCGGCCATAAACCATGATAATTTAATTACTATCCTGTCTATGTAGGGTTTCTGTGGGTAGATCGTTTTATCGTTCCATCTTTCGGTCTACTGACCATTTCGTGTAACAAGAACAAACAGTTGTCATTCTCTTATAAACTTGTTAATGATGTGCAATTTTGTACTTCATTGATTCGATTTGGACGTGAAGTAGCATAACAGAGATCACTTGTGGTTAGGATATCATCCACATATCAAATTTAGGAGATTAAAGTTACCAAGGTAAGGCAAGATTGGTAACAGTACCCACGAAATCTATGCATGACAGTTTGGCTTATTTTATTCAAGTTAGTGAAGAGGAATAATTATATGAAGTTCAGTTTATCGTAAGAATGATGGAACCGTTGTTTTTTGGTTTTAATTCACTCACAGTATAAAATCTGTTTTAAAAAAGTATGAATTATAATTCTAGACTATTTTTCAATTGTTTTCCAGACAGATGAAACAACGACAGAAACATGTGAAACTAAAAATACTGTTAAACTCAGTCGTCAAGGCGTCAGAAAACAAAGTTCACTCGATGCATTCGACAAAATGCCTAGAACACATCGTGCAATGGAATATACTGGTTGGTGGCTTAGAGCTAGTGCAGAAGCCTGGGAACGTTTAGCTGATGCAACAGATATTGAATTCCCTCATCCACCTGGATGTGAGACAGAAAATACTCGACATTCTTTAGAAATTAATAGACAACCTAAACGAAGAACAGCGCTCAGTTTACTGTGTGATAGTGAATTCGGTCAGCGATTATCGTTGAGACTGGCATCAGCTTCTGTTATTGATGATAAAGCTGCCTGGCAGTCCATACATCCATGGGCATCGGCTTTAACTGAACGTCCTTCATCGACATCTCATAATCGTCCAGTTTCTGCTGGGACTAATGTACCCAAAGAGTTTTCAAATGATGTAGTATTTGGACTTGAAGCAGCCGCCTATTTAAGAACGTTACTTCGTTTGGTTACAAATTTAATCACAGTTAAATGGTAGGCATTTTAAGATTCTCGTAATTTTTAACTAAATGTTGGGGGTAATTATTGCACCTATTTTATTGATTGAAATTAGATAAAGTAAACTGATTATGCATAATGGAGTAAAGTCTAACTAACTTGCATTTTTTTGCTGTCAAGCAACAGTCTTGCTGTTCATCTATGATAAATATGGACGGAAAATGTAGGCATATCTGATCTTTGAACCTCTACAAATGTCACATGTTTTTTTTTCAAGATTTCGGTACACAAACCAGTCAGTAATCAATAAATCTGCTGAAAGTGTGAGGATCAATCTAGAAGAAAGCAAAAAAAGAATGTTACGGCTATCGAAGTCAAAATCATGATCAAATGCATAGGTAAATGACGGCGAAGATAGTTAATTACCTTTAAATCCGTTAAGTTATAAGAAAAGAAGTTTGTGATGCTCACTGACATTGCAAAAAGTCATCTAACATTGGGAAAGGGAGACTTGCTGTGTGGATAGTGTCAATTTTAGCTTTCTAGAAACACTTTCTTGTGGTATTCATCACTGGCTGGCAGCAGTTGGGGGATCATCACAAAACTAGAGGCATTGGACGGCAGTTTCATTCTAGTATATCACGTCTTAGCAGTGGCCAGCCACGATCCTGTCATAGTTCGAACATTTAACCGTCAAGTCTCGTGGCGATTATGGTGCCACTTATACCACTGGTCAAAACTGTCGTACGTCTGTCCATTCGTGATATAGTGCGACCATCATCCAGTGCTATCGGTGTGTATTTATCTTCAGAAATGATCTGGTTGGTCTTATAGGTTCGGGCATCTCATTAAGACTTCAGGAAATCCATCTTGAAGAAGTCATTAGTGAACACGGAAAAGTAATCCAATGTGAGACCTGACGATTTCCAGCTTAGTTTTTCACAGAGTTTGTGAGTGCTCACTGCTGAAGAGTCCCAAAACTGAGACGAAACAGTTATTCAGTACTCTGAAGCTTTTAATGACTCTCAGACTGATATAAGTTGGCTGTGAATACTACCTAGCAGCCAACCCATTCCCACAAATTACCAATTAAATAAGTGGGTATGTAAAAAGGATGAACAATTCTCTGTTTCATTAGTTGCTTGAATGATATTCTGAGAATTATCACCCAGCGATAGTATTCACAGGAGAATCAGAAAACTTGTTCGATTAGAGTGTTACATGAAAACCCGCCATAAAGGCTTTTTACATAAGGCAAACAGACAGACAGATGGATGGACAAAACGATTAACACAGACAAAAAGAATCAATGTTGAACCTCACACACAGATGCATCGGCTCACGTTGTCACACTTCACAGTAGCTTACAAACAACAAGTGGAGAATACAACACACTGATATGAAAGTAGACAAAGTTGTGTAAGAAAATGAACAATGAACAGTGAAGATAATAGCTAGTGCGAATATTTAACCTGCAGAAGAAGTCAAACAGTGAATACATGTGTGCCACTGTGACCAATTTCCAGTCATGTTACAAGAAGTTCTCAACCACTGATTTCTTTCGTTTTGGAGATCCTAACTAGGCAGTCTACATCTTCGCCACACCACTCAGACCACCAGTCATAGACTTCACGCATTGGTTGTAGGTCTTTGTCTAGCCACTCTAAGCCTTCTTCCAACGTGATCCGACTTCTTTTAGCATGACACGTTGAGACAGTCGGTGACTCGATATGCACAGTACATGTCCAAGCCACCCTAGCCAACGACGGTTCACAACCTCATCAATCAACTTTCCTATCTTGCCTAGTACTTTTCGCCTTACCTATATAATGTTTAGACGGTGATTCCACCATATGCGAGCAATCCCACGAAGACACCTATAATCAAATACCCTTAACTGCTTCATGTGGCTTCATGGTGCTTAGGGAGATGATTGTCAGTCTGTGGGGTGAGGGTTTGAATCCTATCCCATCTACCGAGGTTTGAGAAGCCATATGGTATCACTAGCCCTCATATAATGGGTGTGGCTCGTCGCCTACTGTAAGAATACGTACAAGGCTGTTGAGTACATTTTGATTTCGAACTGCTTCATGTCTTCTACTTTTAACGGCCATGCCTCATAGGCGTATACGTGTATCAATAAACATATTTATTGCATACAATAACAAAGATTTTCAATAAATTCTTTCTTGAGTGTCTTTTTACCTAGTTGTTATGTAAACAAGGTAGGTAACATGAAGATTGATTATTATCTCTTTCTGAATACACAGGTAAAGTTTTAACCTTTTTTGATAGATATAAGCTGTGTGAATTGGCATCGAATACTACCAGTGTTTGATTGGTGTTTCATACCCAGCGGTTGATGGATAACATTAGCTACTGATATCTTTTAGTTCACTGACGATATTAAGGTTCTTGAAAGATTATTGATTTAAATCATTAGCTTAGTTACTTTCAGTATCTAAACCCTTTTATTGATTTCCGTTTTCATAACTTTATCATTCCATAGTTTGTAATAATTGGAAAACGATCATTTTGTCGATTTTAAATCACATGATCAAACAGCTCTTGTGAGTAAACAACAAAGGATATGGAATGGCTGGTCAGTTCTCTGATTTGTTTAGCCTCACGTTACCATAGTTAAGGGAAATTAATTAGTTAACGGGAAAACAAATTTGACGGTGGTGGGGAAAAAATGCAACAAGGCTGAATAAGGTATGGAATAAAAGGTATAGCGTAACAAGATAATGAATTTGTAAAGAATAATAAACCACTACTAAATTTCATCAGTAACTCGTTTGTTTTAGTGATACTAAGGCATAAACTATTAATTGTATACGTATCAGAGCAATTCGACCGTTATATAGCAGTGAGAAGTTACAAGTATCAAGCAACAACTGATACCCATTGCACAAGTGATGACTCTCATGCACCAATAGCTTAGTGGATACCATTTCGGGGTTTGAAGCGATGAGTACTGGGCTCGAGTTTCAGTGAGAACAACACCACTCACTGGGGTGTGGGTGCATCTAGCTGACTAGTCGCCAGTAGGATGAAAAGCGTGTCTTAGATTCCAGTGCTATTCCCTCAGATAAATATAACATCATGAATATCTGGAAGTATGGAGGCGTGCGCATAGGAGCCCATCTGCCAACAAACGTCGAGCTGTTCGACCCAGTATAGCAACAGGAAATCGCAAGTATCAAACAAGGTACCAAGATTAATTCATCTGGCTTAGTGCTTACTTGTCACTCATGGTACATAACCTTCATTTTAATCTCTTATTAGACTTAAGAAATAAGATACTTATGGAACGGCTGGGGGATATACGTAATAAATTACCTCCTAGACAGATGGAGTGCAGATTAGTGCGATGATAATGTACACCCTAGTCAAGACCGTATTCACTAGTGATACTTAAAACATGATGTTAATTTCAAGCTGTGATCCATCTGTGAGTCTGTCGACCGTGAGGTGTTGTGGAATTGTCTGACTGTGAAGGGAGTACCCAGCAAGTATATATTGTTTATCAGAGTTGTCTACTGGAACTTGCTTTTCCCATGTAAAGGGCCTATGAAGAGTTGTTATGTCAATTAACGACAACTAGTGGTGTCCGCCAGAAATGCCCACTGTCATTGTTTCTATTTGATTTTGTCATACACATACTAACAGGCATAACCTTACGTACGTCTGACTTGATAAGGACTAATCTACTCCTTGGACGTCATCTGGTTGTCTTGGAGTGTGCACACGATGTTGCCCTGTTAGGTGGGGATGATGATAAAATGTACGGTTTTTTGAACGCCTCGATCAGAAATCTGAGTATATTCGGCGTGTAGTTCGTATCTATTCGATGTAAGATGATGTTTTACTACTAGTCTACACTAACTCCTAAGTTAGGAATAGAGGGTGAAGTGGTGGAATGTGTCAGCAGCAAAACTCCAACTGCAATACAGAAGCCCCGTTTGGCACCTGTCATCGTCTGGGGCGCCGGAGAGGTATCTAACTATCCATCAAAAAACAATTACACTGCCTTAAAGTCCGTTATGTCCTGTTATACGGCTGTGACACATGGCCGTTGAGAGTAGAAGACAAGAAGGGGTTACAGGGTTTTGATTATAGGTGTCTTCGTGGGATTGCTCGCATATGGTGGAATCACCGTCTAAACATTATATAGGTAAGGCGAAAAGTACTAGGCAAGATAGGAAAGTTGATTGATGAGGTTGTGAACCGTCGTTGGCTAGGGTGGCTTGGACATGTACTGTGCATATCGAGTCACCGACTGTCTCAACGTGTCATGCTAAAAGAAGTCGGATCACGTTGGAAGAAGGCTTAGAGTGGCTAGACAAAGACCTACAACCAATGCGTGAAGTCTATGACTGGTGGTCTGAGTGGTGTGGCGAAGATGTAGACTGCCTAGTTAGGATCCCCAAAACGAAAGAAATCAGTGGTTGAGAACTTCTTGTAACATGACTGGAAATTGGTCACAGTGGCACACATGTATTCACTGTTTGACTTCTTCTGCAGGTTAAATATTCGCACTAGCTATTATCTTCACTGTTCATTGTTCATTTTCTTGCACAACTTTGTCTACTTTCATATCAGTGTGTTGTATTCTCCACTTGTTGTTTGTAAGCTACTGTGAAGTGTGACAACGTGAGCCGATGCATCTGTGTGTGAGGTTCAACGTTGATTCTACTTGTCATTTGTTAGCATTATATATTCTCTGAAGATGTTAGTAGTTGCTGGAGATAATTGGTAGTGGCTTATCAGATAGTCCTGCGGAGGTTGTGAGAATACCGTCGTAAGGAATCTAGAAAACTACCAATGGCGGTCAGTCATTGTGCATTCACTGCTGAGCTTCTTAAGATATCCTCCAGGACAGTTTTTCTTTAGATGCAGTAGGGAACCTAAGATTCATCAACACCTCATGAATATTCCGTTGACTTTAACGTGTGTTCACTGTCTTTGCCACTGCTCGTCCTTCTAGTGAAAAAATGTGATTAAGCTAGAGGCTACAGGCTATACGTTGACAT